TATATATGTATGTATGTATGTATGTATGTATGTATGTATGTATGTATGTATGTATGTATGTATGTATGTATGTATGTATGTATGTATGTATGTATGTATGTATGTATGTATGTATGTATGTATGTATGTATGTATGGGATTGACTTCAGTGAGATGACACCTTACGGTGAGATGACATGCTTCGGTCAGATGTCGCAAAGCTCACCACACTACACTAGAAAGCTCATCGATTCACAATGCAAAGCTCACCTGAAAATAAAGCAAAACTCACCACTTTGAACACCAAAACTCACATTATCACTACGCCAAAAACAGTATCAGACGACTGTTGATTAAATACTGTTTATGGAAACACATTAGTTTAAAAAAACAGAGTACTGTGAGTTTAAAAAAATAATAGTCTAGCTATTATGCTTTAAAACTTTTTTAAAGTTTTGAGAAACGGTAATCTATCACTAGTTGTCTGTGTCAATTCAAAATATAGTTTTTGTTACAACAGTTGTCAATAACAAGTTAAGAATACTCTATTTAAACAGCAGTCTGGTGTTTTACTCAAGAACTGGTTTTAAACATATTTGAAACAGTTATGTATCGCTAGTTGTCTGTTTCATATGGTTTTTTGCCACTGTTGTTTCTAATGGGAATAGAAGACTCCTTTGTAATAATAGTCTATGAACTAAGGGTATAACTGTTTTTAAAGTTGTGAGAAACGGTAATCTTTTATTAGTAGTCCGTTTCATCTAAAAATACAGTTTTTATTGCCACAGTTGTCAAAAATTAGTTAAGACTACTATTTCTAAACAATAGTCTGGTTTTTCAGTTTATAACTATTTTTAAACTTATAAGAAAAAGAATTCTATTGTAAGTTGTATGTTTCATATGGTTTTGTTTTGCATAGTTGTTTATTATAAGAATAGAAGACTCCCTTGTAACAGTAGTATATTGATATAGCGTAGAACTATTTTTAAAATTCATAGAAACCGTAATCTATTACAAGTTTTCTATAATGAATTAAAAATACCCTTTTTAAACAGTAGTTAGACTATTAAGCCTAGAACTGTTTTTAAAGTTTTAAGAAACCGTAATGCATTACTAGTAGTGTGTGTCACACCGTTTTTTTCACGGTTATCTATAATAAGTAAAGAAAACTGTTTTTAAGAGAATTGTGCGTATTAATCCCTGAACAATTTTAAAAGTTAAGAATACTCGTTTTAAACAGTAGTCTAGCTCTTAAGCCTAGAACTATTTTAAAGGTTCAAAGTAACGATAATCTTTTTTACAATGAAAATGGATACGCTCTCTAACTTTACTTTCCTACTTTCGGACAATATATGTACAACAATCAAATAAACATTGTTTCAAACAATTATATGGACATGAAAAAATAAACACTTCCATTGAAACGAAAGAAAAAGTACATGGACAGGCTCGGTACTGTCCCGCTACACACAAAGAGAATTGCAAACCCATACAATCAATCAATCTCGATCACATCATAAAACCAAAACACAATAAGAAGATGGCGAGATGCTAATAAAAGTACACAAAATGTAATACCCCGTATCAAGATGGGAATGGGAAGACCTCAAAAGGATTGATAGTACTACTTATACCAACAAGGTGCATCTTCTTTTCGAAAACTCATCACCTAGAAACTCCAAAGTTAAGCGTGCTTAACCTAAAGCAATTTTAGGATGGGTGACCCCCTGAGAAGTTTCCTTGGGCACTCACGAGTGAGGACAAAGTGCGCGGGAAAGACTTGTGTTGGTTTGTGGGGCCAGTCTACAATCCTATGAGCAGACACTTACGGCTAGGGTGGGGGCCGGAGTGTTACACAAAATCTATTAAAAACAAAAAACTAAGAGTACATTGGCTTGCTTCAATCCAAAGTAGAAAACAAACAAAACACAAAGAATGAAACTCCGTATTCTAAAATGGAAAAATTATCTCAAATAATCCCACTTTTCACTGTCACCGGAAATAATCCCATCTTTTCGCATGTGTGCGAGTTTTGGGTCACCGTTAAAAAACTAACGGCCACTTAACGGAAGTTTTTGAAAATGCCTGTTTTTTGCAAATAAATGAAAGGTGGGATTATTTTAGAAAAATTTACTTTTTACTTTTTTAGTTTTGAATTTAAAATTAATATTTTTTAAAAATATAACAATACACTCTTGTTAGAGATTTGTGTAACGATTAACAAATTTTGTAGTGATTTATAAAATTTATGGGTTCCGTTTCGGAGAAAAAAAATATTGTGTCATTTTCACAACTTTTGAATTACTATTTTGGGGAAAAATAGTAAGATTATTGCAATATAAGATTATCAATAAAAATTTCAGAGTGTTCATGGAAAAATTGCAATACATCAGAAAATGTAGTGAGTTATAAAAATAAAAGTTCTATTTTAGAGAAAAAAATTGTTGTGTTATTTTCACAACTATTGTAATGTTGTTTCACAAAAAATACTTATATAGAACTATCGAAAAATATTCATAAGTTTTGTAGTGCCATTTTTTTAAGAAATAATAATAATGTAGTATCAAAAAATAATTTGAAGTGCAGCTCAAGAGAAATACAGTAAATGCAACTTACAAAAAAATGTACTCCCTCCGTTATCAAAAACATTTCCTCTTTCATTTTTTTCCTTTCCAACAAAATACGTCCACTTTCTATTAAAAAACCACTTTTACCCTTACTTTTTCATACCCTACCTATCACATCATACTTTATCTCTAATAATCTATCCATCACATCTTACTTTTACCTATCATATCAAGGGCAAAATTGGAAGTCAACTACAATTTAATACTTCCTTATTTTTACACAAAGTCAAAAGAGGAAAACTTTTTCCAAACGGAGGGAGTAGTTAGTTATGAAGTTAATAAATTAGCTCTATTGTGTAGAATAATTTATTTTCTAATTATTACCATATTATTGGTTATTGAAAAAAAACAATTAGTTTCACTTTAAAACACTTAAATTTGGTATTTTTCCAAAAAAATAAAATAAAAATACATTTAAAGAAATTAAAAAATGAAAAAGGGAGAATTTACCTAAAATAATCCCACCTTTCATTTATTTGCGAAAAACGGGCATTTTTCAAAATTTCTGTTAAGTGGCCGTTAGTTTTTTAACGGTGACCCAAAACTCGCACACATGCGAAAAGGTGGGATTATTTCCGGTGACAGTGAAAAGTGGGATTATTTTTGAAAGAGCGCGAAAAGGTGGGATTATTTGAGATAATTTTTCCTTCTAAAATTACTCAAATTAAAGAATAAAGACCAAATATTCAAGGTAGGAGTGTCAATTACACAAAGATTGGTTTTTAGCCATGGTTTTACTCTCCCCAATGACTTAAGCTTGACCCTTTGCCTATGTGGAAGAGGGAAAAACATCATCACCCCTCTTAGTCTTTCACACTGCTGGTTGCTTGGCCTGCTGGTTGAAGAGCAAAACAGTTGGCCTATTAAATATAATATCCAGGCAGCCTCATCTGCAAGGTCATAAACCAGCAAAGTTTAAACCTCTGCATATATGGAAGTTGTAGCCTCGTCAATCTGCTTCTATCTTCCAACTTTACAACTCGTTCAACCTTGTATAGCAAAGGAACGTAATATAAACTAAAAGCCC